GGTATAGTCAGGGCTGGAGTAGACAGGTTGCACTTGCCCTGGTGTGGGAAAATATCAATACTGTGTGTGTGTGGTGTAATAAGCGATGCTGTGTCTCCTCTGCCAGTCCAGTGAGGGGCAAGTGAAGCAGCCATGCTGCACACATCTGGATCATCTGACATTTTACTGCAGCAGTTGCCCCCATGCCCCAAAGAAAGTGTTTTGCAAGTGATCCTGGTATGATGCAGTGACCTGCTAGAAGACTGAGGTCCAGGGAAGGTGCTTGCTGCATGAGAGAGGCTGTTGAAAGTACTGACTTGGTAGAAGAGGGAGGGAGCTTGGGAAGCAGTGTAAGGAAAAGCATTGCTGTGGCACCTGGCTGACAGGCAGCCCGGGGTATTGTCCAGGCAGGGCTGCCAGTCCCCCGCCACCAAGCAGAGACAAGAGAGAGCAAGTACTGACCATGCACAGAAATCCTACCTCTCATGCTGCTGACAGGTCCCTTTAGGCACAGTTACCCATTGTAAGCCAGTAAACCATGGTTTGAACAAACACTATGGGCAGAGTATGGGCCATTTCTTGGAAGCTCTGGTCATAAATTCTATTACTTTGAAATTAGTAAAACATGTCTAAAGTGAGATTTAAGGAGTGAATGTGTCAGCCCATGTATTTTCTGATGTGTTTTAGGTCAAACCCTTTAAGAAACAGCAGGCAGTAACATGTCCCCCATGCTTTCACTGCTGCCTTATGCAAAACACTAGTTTTCTCTCGTCTCCCTCTAGCACAATAAATTCATCTGACCTGTCGCATTCAGCTTTGAAAGAGACTTCTCAAGCAAACAGAGGAGATGTCCTTCTCTTTCCTCTCTGCTCAGAAGAGGCTCTTTCTCTTTCATATAATGGACCCAAAATCTGTTGTATCTACTTTTTTCACTATTTTGGAAAAATTTGAGCCAACTTTTACCTGCCTGCAGCGTGCTATGCAAGGACAGAGAGAGCAAGGGGGAAAAAGCTTGTCAAGCCAACAGCTGCATTTAACGTATGTTGCTTGTTTCTCTCCTTGGAGAGATGTACAAATGAAAATTCAAGAGACTGGAATAAAAAAAGCGTGGCTAGATAGAGGGTGGCATTTAGCAACAAGATGGGAAAGGACATTTTGTTCGTGTTACAGCAGGATCTTTTTTTAAGAGCTTGTTGTATGTTTCATGTGATAAAATCACTTACAGGATTATTTTTTCTTTAAAAAAAAATAAAAATAAAGCCCATGCCCACTGCAGAGAGCACTAAAATAGTCCACTCCAACCACTTCAGACAGGATATATGGAAACAATCAGCATTACTCTGAGGTAAGAACAAATAGAGGCAACTATCTGGTGACGCAGAATAATGAAGGACAAGAGAGGGATTTTGCTCAAGTAGATTGAAAGAGCTGGTGGCATTGGAAGGATTATTAAGCATGATACAAGTGGTAATTTGTTTGACCTAGTAGCTGCTCTAATTGGTGGCCATCCCTTTGAACATAAATATCCCATTGAACATTTCCAGTAACTCTCCTGGAAACAAAACAAATGAGTTCAGATCTCCAGGCAGGGAGAGACTGTTTTTACTGCTGAGGTAGGGGGAGGTCAGATGCTATTGAGTGCTTTAAAAACATGTTCTCTCTTCATCTGGCAGGAGCATCTGAAAATTATTGTAGTTTTTCTATGTACAGCTTTCATTAAAGGTTTCTGTTTCAATTAGTCTCTTGTTTTCCTGGCCTATAAGGTTACATGTTGGTCAGAACATTCTGTTTTAAGCACAAAGCTCACCTGTAAGGCCCAGCCAGGATACATACTGCTCTGGGATGTTTTTAGTCACAGACAAGGTGTGGTTTTACAAATGTATACGGGAATGAGACATCCAGGTCCTACTGAATTTCACTTTGATGTGAGCATACAACCCACCTAGATGTCATCAGAGCATCTCAAAGGGCAAAATATGTTAACTGCTCCAAATTAATTAATGGATGGTAAGCTTTGTCAGAACACTTTCAGATTTTTTATTTAAAAAAATATTTTTAAATGGACATTTTCAAAATATTATCTCCTCCCAAAGTCCCTCCAGCTATCAGCAGTTACCAGTCTACTGCATGTACAGATCCTTCTCAAGTGTTCCACCTCTATTAATGGGACATGAAGTGTGGACATGATCCACACTTGCAGAAGTCAAGTTCTGATGATGATCAGATATAAACTTAAAAATTAAGCTAGTAAATCATGTAAACATGATTGGGAAGGAGTCTTTTTCCTTATGAGCATTATTCAGGCTCTCAGGTGTCAGAGGGACCGCATGTCCTGTCCAGTCTCCTACTGCACCTCTCCCATGGACTTTCATCCAATAGGATTAAACCAATAGGAACCTGGTTCCCCCATAGAGGGGGATGATATCTTTAACGAAGGATATACCTGATGGAAGTGATGATTCTGCAACTGGCCATGTGAGGGAAAATTTATCACCTACACTCCCCAGTATCCCCACTGCCCTGATTTCTTTTGCCTCATCCTTCACTCCACTCCCCCCACCTTTGCTTTGAGTAGGTTATCTGACCATGTGGGTTATCTCAGGAATAAACTTCAAGCATTGTTATAGTACGAGATGGGTGGGTGATATCAGGAAGCTCTGTGGACCTGTTGCTGTAGCTGTCTTTCAGGTTAATTTGTAATGCTTGGAAAGATCACAGCCCAACTTCAGTGAGATGGTGTTTTATCTGAGGAACAGAGAAGTCCAAGCAGCACTGCTGATTCTTGTCTTTTTCTCCATTGTTGGGTAGGCTTGTATTTTCACAGAGTTAAATGACACAGTAACTGAGAAATATATCTTTATTATTAGAATGTTTATATACTAAAAATTTTTATCTGGGGTTACAGTACAATCCAATTTCTTTCTAATTAACTAACCTGGCATTTGTTCCACAAAAACTGTTACTTAGGATTTGAAAAGTTTAAGAATATGCAATTTATTTTACTCTTTTTCTCTTCCTCCCCTAAAAGGACAACTTAGCCATGATTTTGGTGTGATAAATAATAAAATAAACATTTCATTTGTGAACTAATAGTTGCACTTAACTTTGGTGACTAACAGAGTAGACAGGCATTTAAAAATAAAAATATTCTTTCAGTGTCAGGTGGATAAAGATGAATATATTTTAATTATCTTTCTAAAGTTTACCTATATTATCTTCAATAAAGGCAATTTTTTCAGGTTTGTAAAGGATATCAGAAGCAATAGAAAAAACTAAAGGAAGTGTTTCTATTTTGTGGCTTTCCTAATAAAGTTTTTGTAACATACAATCTGACCCAAATCCATGCAATACAATTAACAATTCCTTTTCACCACACACAATGCTGAGCATAAGGCCAAGCGTGGCCTTGTGACGTGGTTAAATAAGTATTAAAATGTCATTACAACCTAAATACCTGAATTGGTTTTACACTGTGACATTCTACTGAAACAGTGTTGAGAAACTTTAAACATATATCTGATTGTTCCATATACGCTTTTTAAAGTAAAAGTGAGGAATAATACTCTCTTTCTTCACTCTGCTGCTTTCTGGGAGCTCTGTACACTGACAAATGTATGACATCGGTAGTTACCTGATCATAGTTGACTGATCAGTCATCTTCTGCTTTAAAAAATTGCAACTCAAGTGCTTATTGCAGCAGTAGTCATAGTGATACACTCTCTATTAATGCTCAGTTTTGCTTACAATTATAGTTATAAAAAATGAAAAACATTTTCCACAAATCTTTGTACACATACTGTAAAAATCACCTTCCACAAAAACAATTTACATCTGTTATGAGCATCTAAAAAATAAATTACAGACTTGTCTCCCCTATCCTTTCATTTTCTTGAGAAAACAAATCTCATCAGTAAAATCAACAGGATATCCATATCTGTAAACATGGCATGAGAATTCATGTTACCAAGATACTGTACATACAAAAAATCATCTTGATAGATACTCTGATAAATAAGGATCCTTTTAATTGGCACAAACCAATGCAAAACTCACATTCCTGTCCTGCAATTGTTTCTAACTTCTTGCTCTTAGGTTTTTAGTTGAAATGCAGGGATATGTCAGCCCTGCAAAGGTTTTTCAGAGATAATATTGTGATGATCTAAGGCATTTTAGGCCTCTCCTGCCTAGAGCCAAGCAGAGGTGCTGAATGCGGTGCCATGCAAGGTAACGCTGTTGCTTTAGCCTTTCACTTGCTGCTCCACAGTGGCTAACAACCTGCTGCTGGCACTTGGTACTGAAATGTTCTCAGGGCTTCTGTGACACCAGAGGCTGGTGTGTACAGCAAAACCATAAAGCTTCTGGAGTTGGAAAGCTGTGCTTGAAACACTGGAGCAGCCCAAACTTGTACCAATGGGTAACATGGCTGCTGCCAGAATTAAACAGTCTAATGTATGCAGTAAAATGTGGAAATGTACCCCACTGGGTTTATGGCAGAATATACAGAGTAGCAACCTGCTGCTGCAAACAGCCTTCAAGAAACCCAAGTAGATGTTTTGCAACTAAGTACGTCTGTGCAGATAACAGTGAATTATTGATCTTCTACCTACCTAAGCTGAAAGTCCAAGTATTCAGGTGCCAATTAAATGGATTCTTCTGAACTTCAGCAACAGCACAGATGGAAAAGAAATTACCAAGCCACATGCTGCTACTAAAATAATTAAACATACAGTCACAGTACTGCCCAGCAAGATAACAGCAGTCAATTAAAATAAGCTCTATAAATAAATAAATAGAAAAACCTCCATGTAAACTGACTAAAGTGTCACCACTCTTATAGCGTCCAAAGAGGGAATGGCATTACTAAATAATATAAATCTTCCATACTGTATATATTTCTATATTTTATATCTGATACATTTTGGCATGGCCAGATAGATAAGAAAAAGTAGGATGATGAATTTCATTCAATATTTGCTCCGTTGAAACCAAGCTCCTGTGTTACTATATATTGCTAACCATTCCTACAGTGGTTTGGCCTTCTTCCCCGTCTTGGATTTTGAACTCACTTTCCTGGCAGAGCAAACTGATTCACCCTTCTTTTGTGCTCTCCATATTTCTCTTGGGCAATCAACAGGTTCATAGAAGCATTTCACTGGCTGCAAGCTGGTTTTTTCATCCTTTGCTTTTTTCAACAAGATTCTTCCTTTTTGAAAGGAATGAGGCTTTGAATCAGAGATGTTATACAAAGCTTGTTGACTTCCTCTGCTTCTGAAATTAATAACAGTCATTATTAGTTACTCTTACTCAATTTTGCAAAGGGAAAGGTCCCCAAAATGTACCCAGCCCTTACATTTTTGAAGTAAATGTAGCCCTGTTTTACAGGACCAGGCTGAAGGTTAAAATCAAGAGTTGTAAGATGAATCAGTCTCAGTACTTAAAAGTGTAAAAACCTCTACATGTGTTACTGGTGGACTCTTCATGCAGGTTCATCTACACTTTTATTTAGATGGCATTCTGCTGACTGCGGAGTACTGAAACCTTACTGAGGTCTGTATTCTCATAACTTTATGATCTACATGGATTTTAAAGGTGTATGTATTCACAGCAACCAAACCCATGGCCTTTGGAAGATCATATGGCACCAGTTAACAGTTGAAAATGGGTGCAGGAACTGTGGGGACTTCTCAGTGGTATCTCAGCACTGCCCTGACTGTGGCTGCTACTAATGGTCAGTGGCTCAGGAAACTCCTTGCTCTGCCTTTGTGGTGCCCAGCCATCTAGGGAAAATTTAGCTTTGCATTTAGGCTTTGATTTGAAACAGAAGAGGAAAGGGCAGTACAGAAGTTGGTGGGAAGAACATTATGAAAGCTTAAAGGCCAAAGTAAGTTTAATTCTTTGTTCTCTCTGCCATGTTTTAGGCCCAGCAGCATTTGCTGAATTTGGTGAGTTCAGGTGCAGTGACAGCACGGTGTGTGGTGCTGCAACAGCTGAACCATGCTCTCTACTCTAAATTTTTAGGTTGAAATTGGTTTCACAGTTTAGCTAAGCTAAAATCATTACAGGCCCTTTAAACATAATATTTAGATGTTTTACAGCAGATACATGTAATTTAACAGCAGCAACATGAACATAAGGCACCAACTCATGCCTGCCCAGCTACTGTGACTGAAGTGAAGAACAGATGTGCCAATGTACAAGTTGAGCTCTTAAGGGTTCCCATAGGGCTATTTTCCCTAGTTTGGTATTTCTGGAAACCACATTTCTGTAGTACTGCTTCTCCTGGGAGTTAAACAATATTGCACACTTGACAAAGACAGTTTTGGAAAAAGCTGTAGTGGTTTGAATGGGTACAGTGCAAGCCATCTCCTCGTTAAAGACCAGAAGGGTGCCATGAAAGTCTCTGTATTTGTTGGTGGGAGGCAATGAGGGCCAGTTGACAGCACATAAACCAAGCTTTTCCTGTAGAACAGTTTTACTTGGTTGGCACCTTTGTCAATCAGATTTCACTGTGGGGAAATTTTGGAGGGGGACTGCTGTGCAGGTCGAAGCTGGAGCTTACAGGTTCTGTGCCATGCTGGTGTGGTGTAAGCCTGAGCTCTGACCACTTGCTAGGGGTTAGAAATTACTTGTGTAAATGCACAGGCATTGGCTACTCCGGTTTATGATCACTTCTTGGGCATTGCTTGAAACAGTCCATTACTTAGTTGTTGTTAAAAGACATCGTGCCCTGTTTTTCTCAGATGTTGTTATGGTGAACAAGTTACATAACTTATTCCCAAAGCACATGCAGGTGTTATGTCACTCCTCTGCTGTACTGAATGATGCTATTAAAACCAGAAGATCAAAGTTAATATAATCAGAGGGGATTGCCTAGAAGAGCTAAACTGTATTTAAATTGAAATAATTTATGGCAGAGAAGTTGGATGTCTGCCTCTAATTCACAGTCAGGGTAAGAAGGTATGTAAGACAAAAGAAGATGCAGGTCATTGCACATGACATGTCACGCTGCCAGGTCCAGATACAGGCAATGTTTTTTGACTGAAAGCAGCAGCTCCTTGATACAGGTGGTTCTGAGAGTCTGAACTTCTACTCAGACACATTCTAATCTGCCTCATTATGGAGAAAGATTGAAATGATGTGACTAAATACAACCCACTGCCACAGGCACTTACTCATGCTGCATTTCACAAACATCAGGTACTTTTCAAGAAAGATCTTATGCTTTTGAGAGACTTAATTTTTAGCTTGTCCACAGTGGGAGCTGTCATTTAAACTTAATGTAGGCACAGATGTGCAGACAGGTCTCAAAGCCTTTGAGAAATGGCTTAGTTAGCTTCAGCAAAGGTCTGTCATTGCCTTCAGTGGCACACTTCCTGAACTCAGCCAGGAGAAACTGGAGAAAAGGAACTGGGAAGCAAGGCAGAGGACTTGAAGCAAGAGGGATTTTAAGTCCAGCCATTGATTCCAAACAACTTAAGCCATTGGAGGCCCCAAACCCTGAGATTACACTGAATTTTCTGGATGGGTAGTAACAGTTCCCAATTTTTTTAGCTGGTACATCTCATTAAAACCTCATTTTATATACTTAGTTGAGTTAAAGCTCATAAAAACAGCTAGCTTGGTGAATGCAAATGCTGGATTCATCCACAGAACAGGCAGAGCAAAATAAAACTTTCCCATATTTCTGAGCATCTTCTCCTCTAGCCTCTCTGTGCTTTGTAAGACAAGCTGGGACATTTTTAATCTGGTAACCTTAATTAAAGGCTACTACTAGATTTCAGTTTTGACAGGGCCTTTTCAAAGGAAAATATCAGTAGTTAAACAGAAAACTCTAATGCTGTAGTATAAAATGCCTTTGAACTCCCACTATTTGTCAGCCATTAATGAGTTTTACCAAACTGCGTTTAATTCAGACCAAAGACTTGTTAGCAGAAGGACTCATCTCACCAAGTCACTGAATTCACTGGTTATATTTAAATTACATTTTCCTTGATTCCAATCATATTAAGACACCTAGAAGCCTGAAAAGTGTATACATAGTCAACTCAAAGTCTACTTAGAACAACTAAGTTTTTCCAGGATCTGATTGGTAGGGAAAAAAAAGACAGCTATAAACACTATAAAAAGTAGCCAAAACAAAGCTAAAGCCCCATGCTGTTAATTAGTGATGCAAACACTGCTTATCAACAAAAGGGTATTTGGCCAGTTGCCTGCTAGGACTAAGACATACGACAAACAAAAACAACCCAAAGAGCAAAAAGAGCCCTCTCACAACCCATTAGGCTATAGACTGTATTTTTACTTCATTTTCCAACTCATCCATCTATTCATGTTTCAGTCTGCCAGTAATTCTTGAACCCATTGGTCAAACACAAATCTGGCAGGGATGCAGAAGTCCCAGACCTGTGCTGATGGCAATGGGAAAAAGGACTCATACTCATGTCCCCACTAAGAAAGGTTGCCCTGAGGGAGGATGCTCTGCTTGACTGTCGTTTAGCCAAGCAGTATGTGTGATGCTTCCAACCAGCCGCTGGGACTCATGACCAAGTCACAAAGACATGGAAAACCAGCCAAAACTAGTTCTGCTGCTCCCAGGACAGCTGCTTGAGTAACCTGAGATGTTGTTAGTGTCTGTGCTTTGTCAGGGGACTTGTTTGCTTATACATGATTTTAAAGTCGACAGTGTTACTATCAGTTAGGAAATGACAACTGTCTCTCTCCTACCTACAGAATGTTAAAGATATTTTCAGCTGAACTTTGGCCTGTGTTTGTCAAAGAGATTCAACTATTGTAGCTTTTTTTTTTCTTTAAATAACATCTGATTTTAGCTTTGATTTAGCAGAATCGTGCTTAATGTAATTACATGACATAAATATAGGTTATTCTCAAGTATAGAACCTGATCCAAACCCAACCTGATTCAGGCATTTTGGTAAGGTGAAATGCAAAAGCAGAAATGTAAGCATGTCAAGTTAGTGTATTGAATAGAGAAAAAGATATACATACAGGCATCTGGGCTTCTTATTTAATGAAATGTCTGTAAACTGCAAAGAAAACAGAAACAGGTTATTAGTATTACATTATCAAGTAATTAAAGTACAGGGATAAAATATAAGCAGTCCTCAAAATCATACATTCATTCTTACCTGCTGTTAATACTAGAAGAATATTCATGAAATAAATAATAAAGAAAAAGCTTTTACAGATTATTACTCCTCCAACTTATTACATCTATTTTAAAAATTCATAATGTGTGAGTTGTTAGCTGCTGGATTTTTCCCCACGTTATTTTTATTGTAACTATAATCAAAGTAAATTGCTAAAGAAGTGTGGGCTGAAGAGAGATCTTTGAAATTAGATTAAACAGTATGGATACAATGAGAAGTAATTATTGTGTTCAAGATAATTAATAAGGGACAGTGCCTGAATAAGCTGTACTGAATTAACCTTCTCTCAGAGCCTTTAATTTTGCAGTGATGGATTTTCGCTATACAAGTGGTTAGGAAACTGCAGCCATGAGCCTGTGGCTCTGCCTACAGCAGCACTGAAGTGTAGAGAGTGACAACACAAGTGTTTCTGTCCCTTCTCACCCCAAATCCCAAGGCCAGCTAGGGACAGCATAGCCTCAGTGCCAGCACAACTTTGCATAACTTCATTTTTTACAACAGTTTGGTTCACAGTGTGAAAACACTTTGTCTAGTCCCTCTTTTAGTGGGGGTCAGGAAAGGAGGTGTTTGATGCCAACTCAGCCTAAATCGATCTGGGTACTAAATTGGTTCTTTGTACTGATCTCCCATCAGTGCTATTAGAATATAATTTTTGAATGTCATTTAATGAAGTCACTGAGCCAAGCAAGTCAGATCTGGCATCTGAAAATTATTATGTTCTTGTAAATGTTCCCTCTGTCCCTGGTAATGTCCACATTTTGCAGATGGATTTTTGCCCAGCCTGACTTTGCTTGTCATCTGCCTTGCATGGAGTCTGGATCCATCTCATGGTGTGCTTCTCTGTAATTACCTCTTGAAGGTCAGGCTGGTTAATATTTGGATGGATGACCTCAGAGGAATGCTGAAGTCACTCAGAAAGAAGGGCAGCTGCCTCAAAAATTAGTGCTTTCCCCAGGTGACACTGCTGAGCCAGATCCCCGTAAACACATTGAGAACAGGGAAGATGATTTAATATGGAGGCCCACCTTATAGTCCCCTTCAGTGTTCTCACAGGCACTGTTTGAGATGTCCTGCTCTGGATTTCAGCACATCTACATTTATTCAGGTCTTACCTAATGCTCATTGTCTTTCAGGTGGCTACGGGAACCTCTGCTTTCCACTACTGCATACCTGTTCAGTGCTGTACATGACCAAATGCCTTTCCTCTCACATCCCAGGATGAGCAATTACTTAGCATAGGGTCATTTAAATGGAAATGTTCTTCAGAAGTCATGTGGCTAAAACTTGCCATATAAATGTGATGCATTGTAGGGAAATATTAAGTATTAATAAATGAAGGCTTTTAAAGAAATAATGTATTTAAAAGAAACAGTGTTCAGACAGCTTTGGTTTCTCATCTGAGGGGGACAGGCCTGTGGGAATCCATTCACCTTCTCTAAGGGTCCTGTGATTGGTAACTACAGAAAGCAAGCTGATTCACCAGCAGGCTGACAGGTCCTGTGTACAGATGCACATCTTTCCTGAAAATCTTTAGATAGCTCCAAAAACCTGCCAATTCACTAAGAGACATAAAGGAAACTGGTTGCTGCAAAGGTAAAGGCACTAATAGCCAAAGCTCAAAAGAAAAATATCTACCAAATGCCTCATTATTCTCTGATTTCCCTTTGCTGTATTTGCCAACTACTGCTCTTACACTCTGTGCTCCTTTCATTCATGTGAGGTAGCAACTTACAACATTAATAAAACACATCCAAAGAAACACTTTACAAATCTAGATCTGTCTGGAATAGCATATAACCCTGACCCACTGAGCCCATCCATATTAAAACTCAAATACTTTCTCTCCACTGGTGAGTGACAATGAAGGGAAGGACTTCACGGGCTTACCACATGCTCACTGATGTTTGTGTGGTTGCACACCATCTGCTGATTTTGGTAATACTCTAGCTGCCTTTCTGCCAGTTCCACCCGCTGCAACAGGTTCTCAATGAAGTGCTGGAGCCTGGCTTTTCCTCGCACTTCTTTTTCTGCTGCTTCTTCCAAGAAGTGGTTGAAAGTAACAACCTCTCTGCAAGACAGAAACATTGCAAAGAGGTCATGTTTATATAATGGGAAGTTCTCTGGTCTCACTGCTGTCAAAGAATTACTGATGCTTCTCTGTTTTTTCATGGTGGCTAATTATTGTCCTTGACCTCTGTAAAAAGATTTCAATCTTTTTGTGGATACTTAGTGAAGATCTGGAACCCTGAATGCTGAATTTAAGTTTATGGGCAGTAGGTTTGGGTATCTTTGTCACATTAGGTCTTCTGGAAATAATCCTTAGTGATTCACGGAGCAGAAACGTTATTAAGCATCACCTCTCGAGGTATCTGGAGACAGCTACAGCTAGATGATTTTTTTTTACTTACCCATGTGTATCTTAGTCCTGAAACATGAAGAGCAGTGGATGAACCCCCAAATTCATCTTCCCAGTTCATCACAATCTTACAGTGGTAGTTTAATGTTGATGCTAGGGTGGTTCCTAAATTAAAAGAGCTACTGTGGCCATAAAACTTAATTTTGGCTGCAATCCTGCCAACATGTCAAAATGCAGTGTTATCATCTGGAGCTAGTGGGAGCATGGGAGATTAACAGATAATCTACAGATTAGATTTAATTAATTAATCTACATTAATCTACTCTTTGCCAAGGAGTACATGCATTTGCCACCAGTAATCAGGCCACCATTTGGACCTCTGATATCAGGAGCTTCTGAGTGGGGAAGTCTGGTTACAGAGTGAACCATGTATTACAAAAAATGGCAAATCTGAGCATGTAGAACTTCCCCAGTTAATAAATGTCTGGATAACCAGTTCTTGTTCTGCCAATTAAACCATGTTGATTTTTGCATTGTACAAAACTGAGGGGGTGGGAATTGAAGGAACCACTGCTTGCCAAATGAAAAGGGCGTGATTCCTTGGTAGAAATACATCAACTGCAGAAAATGCATTTTAAGCAGAAACTGGGAAACAGTTTGTAACAGTAATAGCCTTTCAAAGTTTAGCTTGTTTAGAATGAATCTGATATTTCTCTGCATTTCATCGGTTTAAGTCGGTATAGTTGTTTTAACAGTGAGCTGGTTTGCACTAAGAAGAGTTGGCATTTGTTTTTTAAAAGGGTGATAGTTTCATGAATGCTAACATCTGTAATCGTATCAGAAAAAGTAATTCAAAAGCATTGTTTAATTGCCTGCTCGATGGCATGAAAAGAGTTACCCACAAATTTTCCTTTCCTACAAATTTATCCTTAGTGAGCTGTGCTACAGGGAGGGCAGGGGGAAGCAGTGTTTTTTCTGGAAGGCTCTGATCACTATCAGGAGAAGAGAGACAGTGTCAATAAATTCTTTTCCTTGCTTTCTGTACTACTTAAAATAACTTGACATTCTACATACCATTTGTAGAAACTGTTACTAGAAGCAGTAGTAGTGCTTCCATCATTTCTTTCTGTTTGTTTAGCTGCCCCTATACAGCCTATGAACCTGCCTTTAATAACTTTTTATCTAAAAAATTTCCTTTCGGCTGAAATGGTACCAACACACTGTAAATTCCCTTTACAAAGACAGGGGACAGAATACATCCAGACACTAGGTCTTCGTCACACGCCTTGTTCTGATGAGTAGCACTTCTGTTAGTTCAGCTACTTTCTTTGTTTCCACTTCATTCTTATCTCTCAGAAGAACAACATCAACCCCAAGGAGTGACTGCTAATAAGTGTCTGTACTTGATCCAACATCTCTTCCTCAGAGAGCCCACTCTGTGCCGTGGCTATGCCTTGGTTATCTGAAGTGAATTCCCAGAAGAATTTTTAACCTCCTTCCACCATGAACAATAGGGAAACGGTTCAAAGAACTCGTGTAGCTTCCGGCAGCAGCTGTGTAATTGCTTTTTTGTCTCTTAGAGTTTGCCAGGGCTTTTTCTTAGCCATACTGATGACCCTCGCTCTTCAATTCTGTTGCAGGTTGTTTAATAAATAATGGATATGTGAGCAATCCAGCTTTACTGAGAACACCTGGGCCTCAGTAACAAAGGTACTTTCTCATGGGAACCAGTTGATAAAAGTGAAGCAACGAAGTAAACACCCGGATGTGCCGAAGAAGGAGTTGGGGTGGAGAGTTCTGACTGAGCATATGCATACCTGAGCCTAGGAGCCAATCACTGTTCAGATTGTGACAGGCTCTAGTACAACTGACCAATCATAAGTGTAGTTCTGGACATGTACAACTCGGGATGGAAGTATATAAGTGCCTGTCATTTCTAATAAAAGAAGAAGTTTGCTTTATCAATCATACTGGTTGTCTTGCATTCTTCCCTCGCTGGATACCTCTGCACCGACACAATTCTATTTTTAGATAACTGTGATGATTTTTTGCTTGTTCTTTATTTTACTTTCAGTTTATTTCTCCAATTTATTTGGCCTCTACCAATTTTTTTGGGACTATGTGATACGATTTCTATCTTTTACTCTCTGCTTTTATGCTTGTGGAAAGACCGATGTTCACAGAAGTCAGATGGTGCTCCTTGTGAAGTTAGGGTGAAGCTGAGCCCATGAATATTGTGGGGCCCACTTGGTAGAGGCTTAAACAAGAGCCCAGGAGCACAGGCCTACTGACCTCTGTGTCTTGGCAGAACAGCCTTGTCAGCAGCACTCACCTAAAACCAGAATATGTGTGAAAGCCCAGCCCAGTCCTGAAGCATTGCCCTTCCTAATGAGATCTCTACTACCCTACACAGACTACTCTACATGTGGAGCTCTGCTGCTATATTAAGAAAAGGTTATGTACAGTTATTAACTCCCCTTGAACTTCTGTGCTCTCAGCATAATCTCTATCCCACTCTGCTTCACTCCACCGTTTGCCTGTCAGCTTGCAGCCTCCAGCTCCTTTCTACTCAGCTGCACCCTGGCACTCACTGTAGCACTGTAAGCTCTAGATCCTGCCACAAATTTTCTAGGTGGAGTAGACAATGTTCAGTTCAGCTCAAACATCTGTACATTTCTGTAATGGATAGCAGAGTCATCTCATCTGTTTGCCCACAGTTTACTACATAGTAAGGTATATTGTATAGCAAAATATTTTGTTAAAGGGCTGTGACTGGGCAGTGGGAAGTGTGGCTTTCTTGCTTTGTCTTGGGTGCTCTCCTCAGACAAAACCTTTTAGGAGGAGAGACTGATGCTACTGCCCAGAGAGCAGGGGGCACATAGAACTGCCAGAAGTTTGAGGTGACATGGTGAGGCAAGCAAGAGGGAAAGACAAAGCAGGATGTAATCTGGGAGGCGTCCAAGTGGAGCAGGAGGTGCCTGTACTGCCAGACTGCCAGAGAAAAGCTCTTCTCGGGACCAGGAGTCCAAGGAAAATTTATAGCAGTGCAGCAGGCAGCTCTGAGAGGCTCAGATGAAAAAACAAGTGCAGAGGCAAGACAGACTTGCTGCCAAAGCTTTTATTTTCATCTGACTCTGCCAGAGAATTAACAAGAGTCGCTATAGTTAACCAAACTTAAGTAGTTCGGTGTTTTGCATTCCAACTGCAGCCTAGCTGCCCTCATGGAAAAACCACAGATAGCCTGCCTTGTAACTTTTCCTGAAACCACCTTTATGGAAGCTGTTGTCATGAAACAGCATGAGTTGTGGTAAATAAAGTTGTAAATTATAGACTAACTAGGTGATGTTTATTTTTCTACCTTTACCACTAGATTATATAGTTCTCCTTGTAGGGCTAGTGAGCTGCAGTTCTTCTTTATTGAAGCAATTGCAGGCACGTGGAGCCTGCAGATACCCTTAGTATTTGTATGGCTTTCAGCAGTTAAGTATGTGATGCACAGCATAGATGCAGAGGTTGGGACAGCTCCAGCTCCTTAACAACTGACAAGAAGAGCTAATGATTTCTCACATTGCAACCAAGCCCGCCTACAGTTGCATAATACTGGTCTCAAGACTATTTACAGCAACTTCAACACCAGCAACTGCTCTGTAGGTGGAGACAATCATGAGTCTCTATGCAGATCCTGCACCCAAGTATCAAATCCCTTTTGAGAATTGCACTTGGAATAATTCTGCCTAAAATTAATAGAAAAACAAATCTTTGCGTTATTTTACCTAAGGACAGGGAAGTTCCTACTACAGTAAGTAGTGATTTACTTGTGAAAATTCCACAATATTTAAAATAGGTACATTCATTAAGTATTAACACCACTGACCTCATCCGACATCCAATTGGTGTTGCTGCATGAAGACGGCTATCTCATTAGGTTGTGGTTTCACATTCCTGCACTGCTATCAGCATAGTCAATTCAAAATGTTCACGCCTCCTCCCCTCAGAAAGTTACTGTCCTACCAGTTGCACCCATTCAGTGGTGAACTTACTTGAGGTGACCCTGGGAAGATTAAAATGCTTCATTTCACAGAGCCTTTCTGTGGGATAGTCATGCTACACTTGAACCAATGCAGCTGGGGAGGGAGTAATCTCTGGAGTGGGAAGATAAAAGGTAATGGGAAAGAGAGAACAGGACCACCTGAAACTGACGATGGAAGAACCATGTGTAGTTGTGGTCATATTCTACTTAGAACAAAACCAAAACTGTTTTGTCGTACAACTGGAATTAATATTTAAAGGAAAGCTGTTGTTTCAAAGCATAAATTGCAGTGATCTCTAAAAGCCAACTCTAAATCCCGTTGTCAAGATGTTAATTTGCATAGATAGAGCCATTACTTGCAAATTTAAGGTGAAGCCATTGCCAAGAATAATTACTCCCTACCATAGCTATTCTGAAATAGCCCTCACACTGCAGGCTATGCTGGAGCAGAGGCATGATCACACACCCTCCAAACAAATGCATTAGCCTGGTTAAAGAAATCACTGTCAGAGATATAGCAACATACTACATTAATATTCTTACCCTGTAGTTAAAAGACAAAGTGAAATTAAGTTGCTACTGAAGGTAGCTTCCAGGTGAGGACCATCGCTTCAAACAATTACGCTGTTCAGACTTACTGAAAAGTACCACTTTTGCTTTCTTACCTAACTTCCACAAGCAAGCCTCTTGGTGTCCTCTGTAAATTATGTTCATAGTTGGTTTTAGTTTCAATGTTTTTCTTAGTATCTTATTCAACAAAAGTCTTATTCCCTTTGGGCAGGCTTCTGTGTTATCTTTAAGATTACAGTACTCAGTCTGTGTTGCGTTATCCTTCATCAAACATTGAATAATCCCTTTCCAGGCACATTTTCTAATGAAATCATGCATTTGCTCAGCAGCTCTGCTGAAAGCTCAACCCTGTAGTCATCATTCATTGAAACATCCAGGGGCCAACTGAGGCATGTTGGTGAACTGGGACTTGTCTTTGGTAGCTGTGCCTGCTTCTCTAGAATATCCTGTTTTCTTTTTTCTTTTTCCATATAATAATAAAAAAGCTTTGACCTTTTGACTTTCTAAATATGAGAGTGATACAAGAGTGACTTCTGTAACACTTTCTTGTGTTTAGACTACTTCAACTGTGTGTTAGTAATATTAGTGCGGTACTGCCACCTGTCTTGCCACTCATCAAAGCTCATCTCTACAATGGCATCACAGTAGGATGTACATTAGCAGACACACTGGGTAAGAGAACAGGAGTAACATTTAACTAAAGGGATATATTTGCTTTATCACTGCCTTTGCTGGACTGCTGTAGGCTTTATTTAAAACAAACAAAAACCCAAAAAGATCAACTGATAGATCTAGAGAAATAACCCTATTGATCCCTACAAACTCTTCAAATGGGCAGCCCTGTGTCTGCTGGGGGCCAAACCCAGCATGCCTCTGTCTCACTGGAATGAGGGAGTAAACAGTAAAACCTCTTAGTGCTGTCATTTGAATTTACTACTTGGATTAGCAATGACAACATAACTCTGTTGGAGGTGTGATGCCTACAGGCTTGCGGCTTGCTCTGGAGAACACACCAGAGAAGCCAGCTTTCTAACAATGTGGCCATGTAGAGGATCACAGCTTTTATGTCAGTTGCCAGTTTCTCTACAGTGCCTCCAAAGAATAATTTTTGTGACCGTATCTAAGTCTTGGACTAGATTTTTTTTCCTCTTTTGGATCATTTGTTGGTTTGGGGTGTTTTTGGTTTTTTTTAAACCTTCAGATTGATCTATAGTAGTCATACCTCAGTCAGTTTGAGATCCAGAAGTGTATATTGATTATAAACACTTTTTTGTTTTCACATGAACCCTAGTCCATGGCCTTTGCTATTGGGGATAACCAGGGACCAAAGGAAGACTTGCTTCTTTTACTTCCTTAGAAATAGGATGATAAGGAGGTGTTTCAGGGAAAACAGGTTCTTGCTTTTTCTTCCTACAAAGAGAAAATTTTCAGCTACAGTGGCTCAATATCAATGCTAGTTTTGGGAAAAGTTATCTGTATTCACAAGATGGCTTTAAAAAAAATCCAAAGAAACTGACGAAAGCATTTATTTCTGAAGGTCAGCAAGTACCAAAGCAGTCCCTAAGGGCTGCCTTTGACTTTCCACAATCTGCAGTGAGAACTCCTGCTTCTGCAATTTCCATTAAGCAGTCCTGTTTGGCTTTCTAATCATCTGGACTTCTTCCCAGAAATCAAAGCCAAAGTTGAGATCCTCCTTTTTTGAAGGATAAAGTCTTCTCAGCACACCAAATGAGTAAGTTTTTGAACACACAAAGGACTGAATATGGAGACTGATCTCAGAATTTACTAGCAGTGCAGGAGGAAACCACACAAGTGAGACTTCTGCTGCCAGAGTAATGAACATCCTTTCTTTCCCCTCTGCCAGAGGGTACCACTCAGTGCCCCCTGGCTACTGGCACAAAGCTAAGTGTCCCAGACATTTTTAGAAGTTCAGAGCTGAAAAGCTGCCCCTAAGTACTAGTCCTGCTTTTACAAATCATTGTTTGTACTTACTTGCCTTCTCAATTTACTAATTATATTATGACCTTTTCATTGGAAATCCATACAGTGCCTTTTTTTATGGCACTATCCTTTGCAATCCCCCGAGATGGGAAATGCAAGAACCATTTGAACAAGAAAAAATGTACATGTTTTTCTGAGTGAACTCTGCCTATTCTAACAGCCTGCCTATTCTCCCAGCCTCCTTGGAGTACTTTCATAGTGACTTCTAAGAGGCAATGCTATGGCGCAAGGCACATGCACGTGCAAGAACATGCTATCACTTCCCCCTTTTCCCCTTGATACTGTAGGCTGATCATCCTTTTGTGTTACCCACTAGCAAGCACTAGGCTCATTGCCTTTAGAAATTAACACACCACTGTGTAGTATCTATTCACTCGTTCTTATTGCTGCTTTTACTTCCAAGTTTTTTTATGTTCTTTATTGAAAGCTGAAGCAAGCCAGCAGTAATCCTAGAAGAGCAATACTCTGGGTACTCAAGTGAAGGCTCGTGAGCAGCTGCCTGTTTGGTTAGTGTTTCTTATTAGTCAAATAACCTTCATTCTTCCCTGTAACACCAACTTAGGACCTACACACAGAATCACCTCTTCATCTGCTTATGCATTCACCCTCCTCCTTTAGAGGTGTCTAGAATTCTAACAGCAATCATCTGAGCTTCTGACCCTTTCCCAGGCCTAGTAATGTTCTAGTGTGAAGGACTGTGTTTTGCCACTTCTCTCATTCTGTGTTGTCTTTTCTGGCCTGAGAACCACAGCTTACCACTGCTAGGGGGGCAGGAAGCCTCTTCCTCATGCCTTTTTGTAGTATAGCTAAAAATCACAACTTCTGCTGCCTTGTTCTTTTCACAGATCAGTGCCCTTCGCCATACCATATTACTCCTTTCTACCCACAGAACTCCTTCTCCCTTCCTCTTTTTCCACAAGATCTTTTCTTCTTCTGCAGCACTCTGGTTTTGCTCCACTGAATGGTTTCTGCTTTCTCCTTACAGTCATGTTCTTCCTGTGGATCTCAAGCCTTGAATTTTAAAAGTACATTCCACATTTAGAATGGGGTAATATTCATACCACTTCAGATATCTGAAGTTTAGCATCTAGCCTAAGACAGCTGCTTACCTGAGGTCCTTTCTAGTCTGCAGAGGAGGAAGGACCTCCACAGAGCAATCTCTTCCCCTCTAAGACACTTTTCTTGAACAAATAGGATGAACCATGCTGTGAAACAGCCTGTAAGGGCAACTTGGCTAGATGAGAATACCAAAACTGCATCAAACTTAAAGTTACCATCATGGCCTCCTTCCAGCCTACTTTCTAATCTGTCTCAGTTCCACTATTATCTTTAGTACTTCAGTATTCTCTTCTATAAGGACTGCCCGATATTTCAAAAATCAGAGGTTCTGTTGAGTATCCCTTCAAGGAGGATACAAGCCTCAGATGCTTAAATCCCACCACCTCTGGTGTCCCTTCTTCTGGGAATTCTACAGCACTGCCTCAAGATAAATGACTTCTACTGATGTAAGAGCCATCATAATATTTTCTTTCTCATCCTTAGACTACAGGAAGGAACAATGAAAGCCCTCCAAACTTTCTACACTGGATTCCTACACCACCTTTCTTCTTCCTTCAAAAATCAGTGTCATGGCAACTAGCACTTCTCATCTTTTCCCTCTGTAAGCAGATGAATTGGTTTAGAGGCACTCCACCACCAAGACTCTTTATTTGCATTCCTCTAAAATAAGTTATGCTGCTACGAAAAGCCTGAAAGGTTTCAGCAAATGCTGAATTAACTAATTAGTTCATGTATAAATAATACATCACCTATCACTATATTTTTAATGGATGCATCACAAACACATTTTTAGATGGCTGAAGTTACGACTCTGGCATCTGCTTCCTGTTTTCCAATAAGTGATTCCAGTTTCACAGTTCTGTGTCTATCTAAAACACCTACTTGGGCACAGCCTTTTCAGCACTGTCACCACTGCAGCTTTGCTGCTGCGTGGGAGACCATCCCACTCCTCGGACAGCCCTGCTGACCCTGGTGGGAAGACTTGAGGAAAAACATACTACTGGCTATTCTTCCATACTTCTTCAGCACTTAGCCATCCCTCTCTTCTTCAAAAGATAGTGGCTTAGAGGTGTCAGTGTAAAGCAGATTACACGCTGATGACAGCTTCTACTCCACCCTACCCCATGAAAAATGGACACAACACAGTCACTAGAGGGTGTAAAATTCCCTGGGGAGTCAAGCATGAAAGCCACCTGCTCGGGGAGCTGTCCCCTGCCTTTCGGGAGACACGGCCACAGGGGCTGTGAAACACAGAGACCAGACGCTGGTGGCACCAGACTCTTTTATAACCAGCAAGCAACTGAACGGCCACCCCTCGCCAGGTGCTGGCCAGCCCCGCGCAAAGCCAGCAGCTCTCGCCTGCCCACTTACTCCTCTTTGCGGTGGAGCTCCTCCTCGGACTCGGTGAGGCGCTGCTTCAAGGCTGCGATCATCTCCACTGCCACGTCCACCTGCCTGCTCAGGGCCCGCTCCCGTCGCTGCACCTCCTGCTTCTTCTGGGACAGCTGCACAAAAGCTGCTCGCACCTCCAGTAGCTCCGCTGTCTTCTGGGCCAGCTCTTTGGTAAGCTTGTCGATTCGTTTCTCGATCGTTTTGTCCACGGCCTCTACCATCCTGTTAAACTTTTCTCTGACGTGTGCCTCGAAGGAGGCTTTGGAGTCAGCGGCCGGGGGGCCAGGTTTTGGAACCTGCTCGCTGGGAGAGTCAGCCGGCGCATAGCTTGACACGTAGGAGACGGGCCGCTCTGCTTCCAGCTCCAGAGCCCGCCCGCGCTTCCCGCTGTCGCAGAAGCTCAGGTAGGGCCCTTTGTGCTGCACGGCGCTGCCGGGGCTCCCCGGGCTTCCCTGGCCGCTGCGCTCGGGCGGAGAGATCAGCT